CAAATATTGTGCATTATAGAAGAAAGTGTCTTCTACAAAATAAGACCACTCCCAACTCCTCAAGGCCTTCCGTTGAGAAGATACGAATTCTTTTAAATTTTGTTACTTTGCGTTGAAAAAAGCTTTCGAAACTTTTTTCTCTTTCATTCAATACTTGATAACCTTCTGAAATAGTTAGTCTTGTAGAGTAAACATTTCTCTACAGAATGAGATGTCTCCCAACTCTTCAGCATGTTTTCTATTAGAGTTGTGATCATTCTGGACGTTATATCACAAATGTGACTTTTTTAAAGGCTTCCAAAAGAGCAAAATGATTATAACTCTATCGGAAAACATGGTGAAGAGCTGGAAACCATCTCATTTTATAGAGAAATTTTTACTCTACAGGAATCCTCTGTCAGGAATCCCAGATCTAAAAGACGGAAATGAGAAAAAAAATCAGAACGTTGTTTGTTCTCATACCCAAATGGTTAATTGTACATAAAAAATTTTAGAAAAAAAAATTATAAATTAAATTTTCGTTCAATATCAAACAAAAATTCTAAAATTCTAAAATAAGAAATGAAAGAATGAGGGAGAAAAAAAAATCTTAAAATAAGATTTTTTCTGCTAAAATCAGACGATCTGGGATCCCTGCTGACTGTATCAGAAATTTATCAAGTACTGAATGGAAGAGAAAAAGGTTTCGAAAGTAAAAAAGTAGAATTTTTTAAGCGCAAAGTAACAAACTTTAAAAGAATTCGTATTTCCTCAATGGAAGGCCTTGAGGAGTTGGGAGTGGTCTTATTTTGTAGAAGACACTTTCTTCTATAATGCACAATATTTGACTCAAAAATAAAAAAATATTTCAAAAAAAATCTAAAGAAAGAATGGTTAAGTTTAATTTTCTCTGACGGTACACATTAGAATTTGACAATATATCCATCACTTGATAGAGGAAGTCTTCCTCTACAATAGATATATCCCATTCTGTAGAACCCTGAAATTTATAGTCACCTTTAAAAATAGTTTTATTTATTTTTTTCATTTTAGTATTGGTGATGATTCACTTATTCAATGTATGGATGCGTCTGAGACTGTATCAATCGATCCGTCTGTTTCTTTAGACGATGATAAATCGTCTCAAGCAGCATCAATACCGTCCTCATTGTCGTCAATGAGTACAACGGACTTGTCATCTAAAAATCAATCATAACAACATAAAACATCTTCTTTTTCAAACTTTTCGTTAAAATCTCTCTTCAATGAATTATTTCGTTCATCACAAGGACTTCAGTTTCACCGTCAACGTTATCGTTGACGAACAGTAGAATGTATTCCGGGTAAAAGATATTGTCGATTGGTTATTAAAAAATTCACGTGCCCAAGTATTTAGTGAAGCAAAATTGTTGTGTCAATGTTTTTTGAATGAACAATATTTAGAACCTGTTACGGGTAATCAACAAATCAATGAATTTAAACCAGATCAAACATTGTATAAATTGGGAAAAGTAAGTACGGAAAAGTACTGCGATTCTTATTCCAAATTAAATTATCGACCTTTGTCAAGACTTTTTTTCTCAAGTAAAGCTTGATTAGAAAATTTCATTTGGATGCTGAAAGAGAGAGAGTTTTGTGCCTGGAGTTTAGTCATAGAGAACTTTTTTAAGTAAATATTTGCCGTTTTTCTACAACATTAGAAGGACTGAAAGCCATTAAAAGCTGAGTTACCCAACTGAAGAACTAGAAAATTTTAAAAACAGTTAGATAAACGTAAAATTGAATCTTGATAATAGAAGAAGCAGAATTTCGCGATATAACTGATGGTATGTTCGTTCCTATAGACTTATTTTTTTACTGCTTTCTAATTTTCAAAACGTTAGAAAACATCTTCATCCAATGAAATGTTTAACGATGTTTTGGAAAAATTGATAAATTCAAAATAAAAATTCAAAAATTTAATATGAGCAGATGCAGAATTTCAAAGTCTAGCAGATGTCCCATGGGTTGACTGTCTGTGATAATAAATAACAAAATTGCGATATTTACTTATACAATGAAAGATGCTAAACGTCAGATAAAGTGGCATATTTTGTAACCGATTTCCATGACTGTTAAACATCGTCCCAAAATTTGATTTTGTACCTAAAATATTAAGACTTGATTCTCCTTTTTAATTTTCGTTTTTTGTAGTTTTGCAACAAAACTAGTTTGAATACTAAAAATTACACTGAGCGACTCAGCTTTTCATGTCTTTCAGCATTTCTAATGCTGTAGAAAAACGGCAAATATTTATTTGAATAGGAATGTATGACTAAAATCTACGCAAAATTCTCTCTCTTTTATCATCAAAATGAAATTTTCTAATCAAATTTAATCTAAGAAAAATAATTTGCAAAGACCGGCAATTTAATCTGAACCATCTCTTATTCACTTTTAGTAATTTATCTAATATCGTCCATATCTCAGATATCAACATTTTTATTTTTACTTTAATATCAAAAACATCGTAACGAGTATCAGTTAATAACGATAAATACCTCTTCTGTATTGAAAAATGGAGAATATAGCTTTTAGTGCAGTCCGAAGGTTTCTATTTTTCCTGTATGAATTTCATTTCGATTTATTTAAAGGAGGATTTATTTTACTTCCCATCACGATTTTTCGCTCAGTTTGTAAAGCATCCTTTGAAAAATTTTGATTGTTTTCTGACGCAGTTTGACTGAGATTCTCCAAAATGAAGCGAAATATCCCCACTCATCCGGTGTAAAATTTGATTCTGAACAACATTTGTAATGAAACTTTTGTTCCAAAATGAAGCGAAATCGTGCTCAAGGTTATTCAGAAATACTTCTTGCTCCGAAAGTGAATCGGTCAAGTCAAACTCAAATATCTCATTCAAACTACGTCAGAAAACAATG